CCTGCCTCTGCCTCCCAAGTGCTGGGACTAAAGGCGTGTGCCACCACGCCCCGCTAAGTTGTACGTTTCAATGCACTTTATATTCAATATTAATTAACTCTGGAGAACATAAATCCTGATACATTCTTTTCAATCAGACTATATGTGTAGAAAAAAGTCCATTTTGAACTGTCAAGAAAGATGAGTAACATTGACACATCTGGAGGCTGAAGTCAGCTATATGCTAACGGAGTGGGAATGGATGCAGTGATGTAGGCTCTGGTTACCAGAAAAAGTTGTCTGCTTTTCCTGATAACTTAGCAACATATCCGATCTGTTAGTGTAACTGGTAAGCACAGTGCTCCGAATCCAGCAGCACACAGAACAGTATTACTGAGGGTCTGTAAGTTTTTCAGATGCTCTCCTTGCCTCATTCTGCAGTGAGTGTTGGTATTTACTCAGAGACGATGCCCCATCACCCGTGTTAGTTCTTTGGCACACTGGAAGTCAGCAGAAGCAGTCTTTCCTGGGCTTTACTGCTTCCTCAGAAGAATGAACAGTATTTGGAACAAAACCACTTTTAACCCCTTCCCAGCCATCCTGAATACAAATCTCTCCCTTTTTAATAAGTTCATATATGTCTCTTGTCAAGACTGTGAAGGACTCCTCAACATTTGTAGCGTCTTTTGCTGAGGTTTCTATGTACTTCATTCCACAGTCTAGTGATAGCTTTTCAGCTTCTTCTCTTGTAACCTGACGTTGTGAAGCTAAATCACACTTGTGTCCCACCAGTAGAAATATAATCTGAAATGGCTGTACATGCATTTTTGCTTCTTCTAGCCAATCTTTCACATGTTCAAAAGACCGTCGGTTAGTAATGTCAAATACTAAAAATCCACCAACTGAGTTGCGATAATAGGATCGAGTTATTGATCTGAAAAATAAAGAGAAAAAAAAGTCGTGTAAGGATAACATGCTGTTTTCCCCTCCATATAATTAAATTAGCATCACCATCAAATCTGAAGATACCTTACTGTCATCAAACTAGAATTTATAAATCAAACATGAACAAAAATATTCTATGAGACTTACACACATGCCCATTCCTTATACTGACAGAATAAAGTCGTACATCTGAGATACATAAGAACTTATGAGGTATGTCATCTTGCATTGTCTTACGAGTTTTTTGTTTTTAAATATCTGATAGAATAATTATTGTACCATTGTATTTATTTTATTTTTGGTCTTTTTGAGACAGGATCTCTCTAGCTCCAGCTGACCTGGAACTCACTATGTAGACAAGACTGGCCTTGAACTCACAGAGATCCGCTTGCCTCTGCTCCTGAGTGCTGGGATTAAAGGCATGCACCACTATTTTTATTATTTTTAATTTTATGTATATGAGTGTTTTTGCTTGCGTGTATGCAAGCACATCCATGTTTTCCAATGCCCATGGAGGCCAGGAAAGGGCATTGGATCCCCTGAAACTGGAGTTACAGATGGTAGCTAGCTGCCATGTGGGTGCTGGGAATTGAACCTGGGTCCTATGCAAGAGTAGCCAGTGTTCTTAACTGCTAAGTCATCTCTCCAACCTGCATTCACATTTTAAAATGTTTAGGATGCAAATGGAAAATCACCTTATAAAATAAAATTATAGTAACATATATGTAATATATGCTATAAAATCACCCTTGGGGCTGGAGATATAGCTCAGCAGTAGAGTGCTGCATGTGTGATGTGAATTCCTGGGCTCAATCCTCAGTACTGCTAAAAGAAAAAAAAGAAAAACTTTGATAATTAGTTGGGGGGCTGGAGTTATGGTTCAGCGGTTAAGAACACTGAATGTTCTTGCAGAAGACCCGGGTTCAGATCCCAGCACCCACATGACAGCTAACAACTGTCCCTAACTCCAGTTCTAGGGGATCCGATGCCCTCTTCTGACCTCCGTGGGCATTGCATGACACGGGTGTACTTCCATACATGCAGGCAATACACACATACACATAAAAAAAATTAGTTGGAATAAAGATCTTATGACATCTGCCATTTTCCATAAAGTTGACCTTCAGGACCTGTATATGGGTTTAGAACTTTGAACTGTTAGGTTTCAATCTAGAGGTTGGATTTTCTCTAAAATAACTGGGCATCTCTACTGTCAATTACTTGAGGAAAGAGGTAGACCTTGGAATAGAAAACTTGAGTTTACAGAAGTAATGAGGGAGCACCTATCTTTCATCCCTCAGGCCTCTAAAAGGTACTGTGAAGAGCAGGGAACAGACTCTTAGCAGCTCCTTGTCCGTCCCAAAGGGAAGGTGTAGGCTTTTTGTTTGTTTGCTGTTATTGTGTTGATTAAACCCAAAGACTCACTTGCTAGGCATTGAGCAATATCCTCAGCCTCTCTGGTTTCCACTGTAAAAGAAACCTCTGGTTCTCTCATACTCTGAAGGTGACACTCTAGCCAATCTTATAGCCATTTCCACCTCCTTGCCTTCCTCTGCAGTATGCTCCAGTGGCTCACTCTGTGGCCTCAGGAGCTGGCTTCTCCTGCCCAATGTCCCTCCCAGAGTTACTCCTTCCAACTCCTGTTGAAGACAAATCCTTGGCAACCTTCAGTCTGACTGTCATCTGTCAGCTCTTGGACATTGTTCAAGGACTGGAGATTTCAGTGTTTTACTTTGTTTCTCTATCTGAATTGCTGTCATTTTGCTGAGTAGTTTCAGCATCCACTAGGGTGGGTTGTACGTCACCTGTTTCTAGGAGTCTTCATCGCTGATGGCCTTTTCCATCACTCTTCTTTTTGTGTGCAGTTCCTATTCATCATCAAAAGCTGCAAATTTGGGGCCCAATGGGATGGTTCGGTGGATGGAGGCCTAGCTGCTCTGTCTGATGACTTGAGTTGGTCCTAGCACATATATGGCAAAAAGAGAGAGCTGACCTCTGCAGGTTGTCCTCTAAGCTCACATGTGCTATGGTAAGTGTGAGCCCCTGCCTCCCATACACAAGAAAGGAAGAAGGAAAGAAAAAATGTAAACTTCTTTAAAATGCAAATTTGGGCTAGGGAGAAGGCTCATCAGGTAAAGCACTTGCTAGGTAAATGTGAGGACCACAGTTCAGACCTCTAGAGCCCGTATGATACTGGGTGGGTGTGGCAGCTTGCCTGTATCACGGGGGCAGGTAACGATAAGAATCCCAGAGCAAGCTGGCTGGCCGGCCAGAGGCGCTCTGGGCTCAGTGAGAGATCCTGACTCACTAAATAAGGTGGTGAGTGGAGACAGCAAAGATCAACCTACAGCCTACACATGTATGTGTTCGTGTACTCACACACAGGCCCACCCACTTGTAAACATGCAAACACACATGCATGCACATGTATGTAAAAAACTGCAAATGTATAGCTTGATTTTTAATCAAAATCTCACTGCTGTTGGGCATGATGTAACACACTTTTAATCCCAGTACTTGGGAAGAAGAGGCAGGCAGATCTCTGTGAGTTTGAGGCTAGACTGGTCTACATTGTAAGTTCCAGACCAGCCAGAGCTACATAGTGAGAGCCTGTCTCAAAGGAAAAAACAAAACAAACAGCTCACTACCTAAGAGTGTATCTTTACTGTAATAATTCTTCAATTTCAGCAAGATTTTTAATCCACCACTTTGGGTTTTGTTTTTGTAAAAATATTTTATTTATTTATTATTAGTATTTTTAATGTGTATGAATGTATTGTTTGCATGTAGGTAGGTGCATCCATGTCATGCAATGTCAGAAGAGGGTGCTGGATCTCCTGGAACTGGAGTTACAGCCGTTGTTAGCTGGCATGTGGGTACTGGGAATTGAACCTGGGTCCTCTGCAAGAACAGCCAGTGCTCTAAACTGCTGAGCCAACTCTCCAGCCCCTAATCTACCACTCTGTATCCATTCATCCCACCATATCTTAGAGTCTCTGGGGTATCACCATAATTGCTTCCTGGAATAGTTCAGTTCCGAAGCCCCTCTCCTGTCATATTCATCCAGGGAAACTACCTCTGAATCAGTCCATCATGCAGCTGGGTATTTATGGGGAAAAGTACTCAGCCAGGCAGGCTGAGGTCATCATGGATGAACTATAAGCAATCCCAGGTGGGAACTCAGCAGTGCCAAATACTGCTGGTCTTAGCAAAAACTTTTCCCTCCTTCTTCACGTTGACTTCTTCACGGGAAAAAATGGAATTTCCATTCAACCTTTCCACACAAATGAGATCTGGAAGAATACTTTGACCTTCTTACTAATTATTCTATAGAAGGAAAACATGGCTGTTGTGTTTAGCTAATCTATTTCTTAGGTCAATGGGCAGCATCCCTGTGTTCAAGGTTGAACTCCTGCATATCAGCCTTTCTCCTTACTTCCCACCTTCTGGATCCATGCTACTGGCTTGATGACTGTGAAAGGCATGAAGTGTCAATCAAAGCTGTTTTGTTCACTGTTGAATACCCAGTGGTCTTCAGTGCTTGGCACAGAATAACTCAATATCTTTGTGAATGGATGAGTGGTTGATCTGGTCCGAGTCATCAACATAGCTAATGAGGAAATGGGAGAAATGACAGAATAAGGAAATCCAAGGAAAAGATAAGAGCATCACAGAATTGACGCCCAACATTACATCTATTGGTAGCCGGGTCTTATGTTTTACACAAGATCAATGAATTGTGATGAGCATATCAGTATTGGAGGCGGTTGACTAGATTAAATATTTGGAAACTAATGAACCCTAAAGAAATAGTCTATGAAAACACAGTAGCCAGAAATCTGTTTCTTGAGGGAAAGGACCCTTAGGTTGGAAATATGTTGATGAGATCCAGAAAATGAGTTGCAGTACCTTTTTTAAAAGTTATTTATTTAATAACCACATACTTAGAAGAAGCATTTCATTACAACAGCATTGACATATTCAATAACAATTTCCTGAGCTAAGATGTATCTCTTTTAAAACTGCTGTAAATTTTTAGGTTTACAGTTGAATTTTTACAGTTATACAATATTGTACTCAGTATAAACCCTATAAGACATAAAATTAAATGAAGTTTTAACCTTTAAACAAGATCTCCATTTCATTAATAAAATATAGTTTCATACAGAAAATATGTCAATGCTGTTGTAATGAAAT